CAGGGGGGGGGGCTGGCTATCAGTTGCTAGGTTACAGGGTGTTGGCCATTCTCTGTCCTGAGGGTACTCACACCTGCCCTCTAGTAGTCTCTGCAATGATCACACACGCTTATCCCACCAGCCAGATACTTAAGCAATACATAGGGGAAACTGAGGCGTGCACACAGTGTTCAGAGAAAACATTAAGAACTTTCCCACTTCGTCACAGGGGGAAAAGGGATCAGTGCTGCAGAGGTGGCACACTCTCTCCCTTCTGTGCAGCCCGGCCGGGCTCTCTGCACATGGTTCCAGGGGCCCAGTCTGTTAATATATGTGCAATGGATGTGTGTTATATCCTGAAAAATAGCTACAAACAGGCTGTGGCAATATGGACATCATTTCGGGCGGGGGGTGGGGGGAGGTACTTCAAAAAAAGAAAATGAATCTTCTAATGAATGTGAAACTAAGTGTGGATATTTCTGACTTGACTTCTTCCTCATTAGGGTTCTGTGTGCAATCACTGAATCTATAAATAACTTTCCTAAGAGCTGCTTGATTGCTAAAATCCTGTATATTCCCAAACACATCAACAACATGGTTTTATATAGGGGGAGGGGGAATCTGTTAAACCTCAGCATATCCAGCATTAATGATAGCAATTTTTAATTAACCTGATTTAGAAGCCAATTGTAATACTGATGAAAATGAAAGGGTAGAACATACAGTAATTTATTCCAGTACAGTGGTCATTACTGTTGAATTAAATTTATTCAAATTCACTTTAAAAAAAATCTTTGGAGCACTAGGCTTAGCGCTGGATGCCATGCTCTGGAGATTGAGTTAGCGTACAAGCTTGGACATTGTATAAGTGTATGCATGGCTGTGCAAGCGGTTTGGGGCAAAGTGATTCTTTAACAGTGAGGGAAGCTCAGGGGGAGTAAAGACCAATCTTGGTCTTGTTTAGAAGAGAGAAAAAAAATCAGTCTGTGGTCTTTTACTAACTGCCCCTCTACGGGACGTGCTGGTTACAGGAAGATGGTCCTTGTCAGTTCAACATAGGAAACTGCCTTGGATTCACTTTCTCCTCCACAGAACAGTTCCTACCTCTGTGGGCAGCAGTTGTTCAACAGCACACAACACCATGGTCCAGCAGGAAGTGAACCTGTAGGGCTGTTGAACCTGCATGAGCGGTTTAGCTAGAAAGACTGTAACTGAGTTGGAATGAAGTATTCAGTCTGTGGAATAGGCCAAAAGCTGTGGCGCTTTAAAAAACGCCAAACAACCCAACCAGTCTCCCACAGGCTGAACTCCAGATAGAAGAGGAGAACATACAATAACACTGTAGTGTACTGAGAAAAGCATGCTGCTGGATGTGTGCATTGTGTATGTATGCATATGTTTATGAAAGCACATGATGGAATGATTTTCAGGTGTGCAGTAAATGATGCTTTTCAGGAGGGGTTAGGGTCCTGTTGACTTCAATTGCACTGCTTATGTGAGCAAGGGTTGAAAAATAGGGCTTTTAGTTTTAAAAACGATTTTCCTCTGAATTCACTGGGACCTATATGTCCCTAGCTGATTGAAGAAGGATCATTTGTAGCCTTTGTTAAAATGCCTATTAAAACCCTTTGCCTTACCTGTTAGTTCCAAATGGTACAAATTGTCTTGCTTGTCATTTTCGAGGAGGCTTGGCAGATAATTGGGTACCTCCTATTAACGATAGTTGTGCAAGTGATGAGTGGCCCCAAGAGCTGTAGTGCTTTCATGCAATGTCTCTAGCTTTTCCATAACAAAGGAATCTGCCTTACAGAAACTCTGCTGATGATGGGGAAGGGCCCACCTGAATAAAGTGCTGACCCTTTGCTGCGAGACGTAGAGCTCTCTCAGTTCCCGGTGGGAGTAGGACTAAACGGGATTGGATCATAAAGAAGCAGTAGCCTAACTTTCTAATTTAAGATCTGTTTTTAAATTCAGTGATTTGTCTATTTAGCAAAATGAAGACTTAATAAAACGTGTGTGCTCCAATCTTGACATTTTATTGTGAGTTCAGTAAGACTAATACATCCCGTTAATATGCCACTGCGAGCAGCTGAGTAGTGTAGTGTTTTACAGAACAGGTAGTTTTCTACAGAATACGCTGAATATTCCTGTGTTCTTCAACATGTTGGTTATTTGCCTTCAGTTTCCAGGAGAATAGTATTTCAGTATTGAAGATGACCAGGGAAAACTATTACTATGTTCTGTGCTGTCTACGTTTCCTGCCCATCTGATAATATATGTTCAGCTTTATATCTCAGCTGTGCCAATCATCCTTTTGTTTAGACAGATTTTTTTTTCCTCCTAGGGTGCTCTCTTTTCTCCTTACTCTTATTGACAGAAGTGTATTTTCTCTGTCCTTCTCATTGCAGGTTATCCAACTGGGTATCCCACAGCTGCCCCTGCCTACAATCCGAATATGTATCCAACCAGTAGCCCTGGCTATGCCCCAGGTAAAAACAACTTTTCATTCTGGAAACAGTTCACGACGTGCTTAAGGATACAAGAGAGTTTCACTCATTTGCCCTTTGTTAACTGGCACATGGAACCCTGCTGTCACCATATGTTTTTCAGCAAATAGTACAGAGACTGTAGTAAACTCCCCCATTACTTCACAAAATATGTCACCACATGTTTCTCAATCCCTGTCATAGGTATGTCTATGGCCCCCTCACTACAGCATCTGAGCTCCCACACAATCTTTAGTGTATTTATCCTCGCGATCCCTCTGTGAGGCAGGGCAGCACTATTATTATGGGGAACTGAAGAAGTAACTTGCCCAAGGTCACATAGGAAGTCTATGGCAGAGCAAGAAATTGAACCCTGGTCTCCCAAACCTTCAGCTAGTAGCCCAATCACTGGACCATCCTTCCTCTCTAGAATTTATCAAAAGTATCATTATAAAGAATTAAAACAGAGCTGCATTGTCATATAGGTGAACACAGAACATGTTGTAATGGTGATAATCCTATGTTGTAATGGATTATCCTTCCTTTTCAGTGCGTGCACTTAATCAATAATTGGCAACATTCAATAATTCACAATAAATTATTCCTGCGCATCATCAGTGCAAATTAGCGAGGTTCCACTGGTGATTAATTTTGACTATTCTAAAGTAATTTTCTTGCCTAAGCAAACCACTTGCGTTTCATGCATTTTGAGCCCAAACCTTGAAGTCCTTACTCAAGCTATATTCTCCTTGGAGCCAGTAGAAGATTTCCTTTAGACCCCAATTCAGGAAAGGGTCCCTATTCAAGAAATCACTTAAGTATGTGCTTAAAGTTAAGCATCTGCTTAAGAGTTTTTCTCAATCAGGGTCTCAGGTGGAACAAATAAAAACCCTTATTCATGTTGACTAATTCCTTACACTATGAGCAGGCTCTGAGACTTCAGGGGAACTATTCGTTTTGTAAGGTACTACTCAATATGACTGAGGATGGCAGAATCAGGGGCTAAATAAGTGCTTCAGGTAGGGTGACCAGACAGCAAATGTGAAAAATCGAGATGGGGATGGGGCGGTAACAGGAGCCTATATAAGAAAAAAAATCCAAAAATCGGGACTGTCCCTATAAAATCGGGACATCTGGTCACCCTAGCTTCAGGATATGGCCCTTGTTTATTTTTTGCTTCGTACACAATGTAATTTAAACAGTACATAGGAGTTTAGGGATAATGGTAGGATGACAAATGGGAATGAGGATATGGAGGTAGATATTACCACATCCGAGGTAGAAGCCAGACTCGAACAGCTTAATGGGACTAAATCGGGGGGCCCAGATAATCTTCATCCAAGAATATTAAAGGAACTGGCACATGAAATTGCAAGCCCGTTAGCAAGAATTTTTAATGAATCTGTAAACTCAGGGGTTGTACCGTATGACTGGAGAATTGCTAACATAGTTCCTATCTTTAAGAAAGGGGAAAATGGTGATCTGGGCAACTACAGGCCTGTTAGTTTGACATCTGTAGTATGCAAGGTCTTGGAAAAAATTTTGAAAGAGAAAGTAGTTAAGGACATTTTGGTCAATGGTAATTGGGACAAAGTACAACATGGTTTTATAAAAGGTAGATTGTGCCAAACCAACCTGATCTCCTTCTTTGAGAAGGTAACAGATTTTTTAGATATAGGAAACACAGTGGATCTAATTTACCTTGATTTCAGTAAGGCATTTGATACGGTTCCACATGGGGAATTATTAGCTAAATTGGATAAGATGGGGATCAAAATGAAAATTGAAAGGTGGATAAGGAACTGGTTAAAGGGGAGACTACAACGGGTTGTACTGAAAGGTGAACTGTCAGGCTGGAGGGAGGTTACCTAATGGAGTTCCTTAGGGATCGGTTTTGGGACCAATCTTATTTAATCTTTTTATTACTGACCTTGGCACAAAAAGTGGGAATGTGCTAATAAAGTTTGCGGATGACATGAAGCTGGGAGGTATTGCCAATACAGAGAAGGACCGGGATATCATACAGAAAGATCTGGATGACCTTGTAAACTGGAGTAATAGTAATAGGATGAAATTTAATAGTGAAAAGTGCAAGGTCATGCATTTAGGGATTAATCATAGAATCATAGATTATAGGACTGGAAGGGACCTCGAGAGGTCATCGAGTCCAGTCCCCTGCCCGCATGGCAGGGCCAAATACT